TTGCTTCAGGCACAGCGTCGCCGCTTCATGGACATGGACTTGCCTGACTCATCTGTGAGGGCAAGGTGCGACTTGCGGCAACTCATTTTTTTGAGGTGAGATGCTTGCTTCTCGAGCTTGTGTATGGATCTTTGAAGCACAAGGGGCTTTGTCGACGGGCTTTCGACGGGCATGTGTTTGTGCAGCGCTCTGCTGCAAGAATATGGGCGTATGAGGCGTTTGAGCGTAATCCCGACAGTTGTGCTTTAGCTGTGTAAGGAGCCTACGAAGGCTGAAAGCTAGGCGGTCTGGCAGGAAAGTACACGTCGTTAGGCGAGACATGACCACTTCGTCCGATGTCCGTGACCTTCCTCGCGACAGAGACGACTGCTCATTGGAGTTGCCCAAGACCTTCCAGATCGACCGCGTTCCACCTGGCAACGAGAATCTCTGCGTACACCACATTTCAACTCTCCAAGACCCCAGTGCGATGTTGCGTCGGCGTGAAGCAAGGGCCCCCATTGTCAACGCTTCTAATCAACGCAGTCAAGCTCACATCGTCTTCCGCTGCCGGTGAGTGACGCCGGATGCACGGTCGCCCGTACATGTCGTACGTTAGTTAGAACGCGCCTAGATTTCCGGCCGTGAGGCCGTTACACGTCGTATCAAGGTCGGCCATCGTTCTTGGATTCTATGGGTGAAGGCGCGTTGCAAATGGGTAGACGAGTTGGTGACGGAGGGGGATTTCGGTATGAAATTGTTGTACCTTGGTAAGGTGCGGCGTGTAGGGAGTACGGCATGAAGGTCTTTCCCCGTATGTTCACTGCGTGGGTGCCACTTTGTGTTCGTTCGTGATGTAGTGATGTCGTACATACGTTCGGAGCAAAGTTTCTTCCCAACTGCCCGCGATCCGCCTGTGTGCGTATTAGTACGTTTCTGCATTTTGTGCACAACTGCCCATATCGTTTTGCTGTGCAAAGTCTGTGCTCGTTGCGTCCCCTGCTAGCTGGTTAACAACGTGCCTGTGTGTGTATTTCCCTGCCCACCTCCCGCCCGTTCCCGCCACCGGTCTGAGCGAGCCTGGGCGAGGACTTCCAACAGGACAACACGTATCCGTAGGGTTTCAACTAGGTCGGCCGCCTCGCCGTCGGCCGCCTCGCCGTATGCCGCCTCGCCGTCGGCCGCCTCGCCGTCGGCCGCCTCGCCGTCGGCCGC